GGTATGTTGGAGGTCCCTGATCCAGGCTTTGGTAGCTAGCTGGGAAGGTGGGTGTGCTGCCCTGTTTCTAGTTCCTTGTACACAGTAGCTCTGTGTCATTTAGGTTTTGTTCCCCAGCATCTCTGAAGCGCAATGCAACCTCTGCTGGTATCTTTAGAAAACCACAGCTGCATATGATTTAATTTTAGCTTGATTATTTTATTAGAGATGTGAATAGATGAGAAGTTTACTGAAGTGCCAGTGTCCTTTGTCTGAAGCAGATCGTTGCTAACCAAGTTGGTTAGTTGGAAGGTGACTGTCGTTGTTTGGGCTTATCTTCAAGACACCGTAAATCCTTTGTTGTCTTTTCTCCCAGTGTGGCCCTAGCTAATATTTCTGGACTTTTCCGTGCCTGTTTTTAACAGAAACCCTTCTATTTAAATTGAAAGGAAAGGCTGGTTATTTATGTGTATCATTTGTAACAGATATAATCCTGTAAGGGGCTGAGCAGTTTGACCTGATACTGAGGGCAAGAGCGGAGGAGGGTTCTTTGTATGCACAAACTCATTCAAACTCCCAGCAGGATCAGGCCCTGCTGGACATCCAGCCATGTGTAGGATGTTGCTTGTTCCCATTTGCATTCAGATTACAATGCTATTTTTTCCTAACTCTGGCATTTTTTCTTTTTAATGTTTTGTTTATTTTAATTCATATATCTGAATAGGTAAGTGGATTTCTGCCATATGGAATTATTGTATGTGAAACTGAGGAAGTATTAGATTTCACATTTTCAGGCTAAGTGCACAAAATAAGAAAGGGGAAAAAATGGTCAAACACTTGGTTCAAAGTAATTGAATAATGAAATTGTTGACTATAATTACTTTAAATGTAATTCAGATAGATCCAGCTGGAAGAATTATGGAGGAGGGACATATAGAAGGGCTGTCAGGACAAGGAAAATTAGATACTGCTAAAATAGCCTACACTGTCTCTCCTATATAATGTATTAATTTTGTCTTAAAAGCAATTCTCTGATAAAGTACATATCTGTACTTAAAGAACAGGATCCTTTCCTTTAGCCTTTTACAGCCCATACCAGCACAGTTTACACAGTTCAAAAATGTTGATAGCCCAGAGGATTCCAATGTTAGCAAAGATTTTTTTGAAAATTGCATTCAGCCTTGCATTGCTTCTGGATTTTCAGTAAGTTATTAAGCAAATACACTACCTGCAGGACCGTGGTTTATGTCAGAGTTTAAATCACACTAAAAAAAATAAATGCAACCTCTAAATATGCCCTTATTTACCTGATTTTAGATGCTTATATCAGCATTTGGATTCCTGACAGAAGAAATGTAGGAAGGTGTATGTGCTCAAGCAAAAAGCAACTACAAAAATACAATTTAAAATTTGGAGAGTAAGTGGCTGCAAAGGTTAAGCAGTTGAGGGGGTGTGGGGGTATGGAAGTGTTTGCATAATTGAAAGAAACTACAACTTCTTTTTTTTTTTTTTCCTCCCGAATCAGATGTTTGACTTTTGTTAAACAATTATTGAACTATTAACAAACTGAGTCAAACCTAGCAAAAGTTTGCTGCTTTTTTGATTAATATCAAACTGAAGAAATGGCTCTTTGTGCCCCCTAGTTTAGACCATTCCAGTGGACTCCATATAAATACAGATTTCTTAACTGCTTACTAATGCAAAAAATATGCTTATGGTTAACTATTAACCTATGCTTCCACATAACACTAATGATTGCAATGTGCTGGAATAAATGCTCATGTTTCATGGGATGAGAACGGTTCTCTTAAGCTTACCTAATCAAAGCCCAATCCTGCCTTTACAGCCTTTGTTAAATGCATTGGTATTTAATATGCATCAATAAATAAACTTTCAATTATTGTGCAGTGAGCATATCCAAAGATAGCATGACAATGTGAAACTACTCATCTATCTAACAATTATTCCAAATAAAGAATGCTGATGATGTGATTTTCCCTCCTCCTCTTATAAGGGATAATTCAGATTTTCTGACATTCTTTTGCAGCCTCATAATAAGGAAAATTAATTAATCTAGGCAAACAAAATGGAAAGAATTACATTTTTACACCGTCTAAATACATCTCCCCACTGTGACTAGAAAAAAAATTATTTTATTTTAAAAGCACATGATCTATTCTAAATAAAAAAGATCAGTTGATGAAATTTTTGAAGTATTTGTGAAAGGTATTTGGAAAAGCTTGCTAAATGTGTAGTGTATGATATATGTTGTTGTGCTTTGACCTAGTGCATTCTTTTATCTCTTTAAATTGAATAGTCTTCCTTTTACAAGCCATTATAGACAGTGTGCCAAAAGCATATTCATTAACTACAGTACAAGTACCAGCCCAGCCAGATTCTCTGCTCCATCCATGCCTATTTTACCTTCCCTTACAAAAGTATCACTGCTGCTTTAGTGCTTTCTTTGCAAAGAGTCTTTCTCATGGCATCCGTTCATTAGTATCTAATGAAACATCAATCTGCTCAAGTTCTTCTGAATCTTTGTAACAGAAGCTTTCAGTGTTTTGGTAACCTTATAAGCCCAATATCACAGAATATGGATAGGTGTTATTTACTTGTTTGTTTTGTTTGGCTTTTTTTTTTTTTTTTTTTTTTTTTTTTTTACACTGGAGTAATGAACTCACATGACTATTAGGCAGTTTATGTTACAAGAACATTAATATTCTTTCCTTTTAAAAAAGTTTGAAGTAAATCTCACGACACTAGGAGAATTTGAGATACTGATCACTTGCAACTGGTTCTCAGTGATGTGCTCTTCAGATTTCCAGCTGAATTTAACAAAATATGATTTCTGAAAAGCTTCTGATAGTTTCTCATTAAAATTGCATTTTTTCATAACATTATTTCTATAATTTCACCCAATTTCATTATATATTTACCCCTTCTGAAAGGCAGTAATTGAAACATCAGAAACAATTAGCAAAAAAAATTTATATTAACTTTAAATGAAAGAAATAAATCTGCCAAAAACTCAGTCTCAAAGCTGCATTTGACAAAAGCCCTTCTCTGAATTAATTTTTATAGGATAACTGTATAATTGCTAACAGACATTTTTCTCAAGTTGTCAAAGTGTTTCAAAGAAGAGAGAAAGAGAACCCTCAGGAAAAAAAAAATCCACAAGTAATCAATGGCATGCTCACATGGACTAAGATTTGCAGCACTTGTACTAATAAAATATAAGGCTCAATTAGAGGTACTTTGCAGTTTTCAGGTTAAATTTAAATGATTTGGTGATTTGCAAATACACAAATCCAAAAATAAAAATGAAGAATCCAAATGCAAATGAGTGCAACTGCAATAAAATATAATTGCAAATGAATCTGTTGCTTTATTCATTTATTGTGTAATTACTGCAATCCTTCCCACCTTGTTTTCAGTATTTCTTAATCATTAAGTCGGAAGCATGACAGCAGTGCCAGCCCTGGCATGATTCTCTTTGACTAAAACCTTGTAAATTAACACAATTAGCACAGCATCATCCTGCTAATTAACTTCCAGTGTCTGGTGCAGTGGTTTTGCAAACAAGGAAGAGGGAGTCAGAAGGGAATAAACATGCCATTCTGTTACCAAACTGTGTGCTGTGTTAGGTTTAGCTCAGCGAGGCTAAGCTGGCCATGTCAGATGCCAGAGTCAGGCAATGAAGAGCTAAAGGGGTTGGGGAGAAAAACAGGAGGGGGTAGAAGCTGTCAAAATAGACTGCAGTAATTCAGAGGGGAGCTAGTGCCACAGATGCTTCATTTCGACTAGGCCTCCTCCTTATCAGGGAATCTGTGCCAGAGGGCACAAGACTGTTTGCAAAAATCACTTTTGGTAATACGAGAGAGATTAAGGAGGTCTATTTGATACAGCTGTACAAAAATCAGCAGTGTGTCTGCCGTGCATAGGTACGAGTTGGAGGGGGTTATTTTAGGCTTGTAAATTGCCCTTACTCTGCACAGTGGATTAGGAGGAGGGGGGATAATTCACATCACATTATTTACAAGATTAATTGCATTAAGATGACATTTGCATTTGGTCTTTTTTTTTTTTTTTTTTTTATGGATAGAGTGTTTTGTTTTTTTTTTTTTTTTTTTTATAGCTAGCTGTGGAAGCCACAGAACTTTTAGGGACTTGGCTTCATTTCTTTTTCCTTTTCTTCATTTTTTTTTTTTTTTAAACCCTCTTTCTTTGTACCCTGGAGGCTGTGAGGCGGAGGGGGCAGGGGGAAGGAGAGAGCAAGCAAGGAGACCGACAGACAAGTCATGCTTGTTTTTTTTTTCCAGAGCCTCAACAACAGAACTGAGAGGCAGAAAGGAGCCAGTTGTAATTCATACCGAGTTGTAGGCTTTGTGTGATGAAAGCGACGGAGCGCTGCCTGGGAGATTGCTTTGCTGCACTCCACGAAGCAGATTTGAAACTGTCGTGGACCACTTTAGATGAGAGTTGGATTATGGAATGACCTGCTATGTCTGTGTCATATTGTTCTGCGCAGGGTGCATTATACTGTGCTAACTAGGTGTTCAGTACCAAATAAGAGAGGTATCCTAGATGTGATCTGTCAGCTGTGTCTCATATTTTTATATTGGTTAAAATATAAAACTGAAACAGTGATGAAAGAGGACAGAGCAGTTGGATGCCTTGTATGTTAACAATGAATCTGCACGCAGAGTATTTAAAATGTGCTGAGTCTTATTTAATTGATTTGAGAAATTTGTCATTACCTGTATTTTTTTAAAACCAACAAATAACCCCCTACTGAATCGGCAAAAAATGTGGCTCTGTGTGTATGTGCCTACAATAAACCAAGCAGTTCATACTGCTTCATAAGAGCATTGCATTTTCTTTCCTTAAGGATCTGTGGTGTTAAGTACAATGTTTCAGAGAGATGAAGTAGTTCACAGACAGTACATTTGAGAACTCATTTAAAAGCATCTGAAAAAGGCCAAGCTCGCTGTTAACTTTGTTTTTTCCTGCCGCCCTAGGCTTGAAGATGCAGTGGACGCCGGAGCATGCCCAGTGGCCAGAACAGCACTTTGATATCACTTCAACCACCCGGTCCCCTGCCCACAAGGTGGAAGCCTACCGGGGGCATCTGCAGCGCACCTACCAGTATGCCTGGGCCAACGACGACATCTCAGCTCTGACCGCCTCCAATCTTCTGAAAAAGTATGCAGAAAAATACTCCGGTATTTTGGAAGGCCCAGCCGAGCGGCCCATTCTCAGCAATTACTCTGAAGCTCCCTCGGGGCTGGTGAACGGTCGGAAGAATGAAAGCGAGCCGTGGCAGCCGTCGCTGAACTCGGAGAGCGTGTATCCCATGAACTGTGTCCCAGATGTTATCACTGCCAGCAAAGCTGGGGTAAGTGCAGCCCTCCCTCCCACAGATGTCTCGGCCAGCATCGGGAGCTCTCCTGGGGTGGCCAGTAACCTGGCTGAACCCAGTTACTCCAGTAGCACCTGTGGAAGTCACACCGTTCCCAGTCTTCATTCAGGGCTCCCATCTCAGGAATATGCCACAGGATACAATGGCTCATACTTGCATACCAGTTACAGCAGCCAGCCAGCACCTGCACTTCCATCCCCTCATCCATCACCCCTGCATAGCTCGGGACTTTTACAGCCCCCACCACCACCGCCGCCACCAGCCCTCGTCCCTGGCTACAACGGGACCTCTAACCTCTCCAGTTACAGTTACCCTTCTGCCAGTTATCCTCCTCAAACTGCTGTTGGCCCTGGGTACAGCCCTGGGGGTGCCCCCCCACCCTCAGCGTACCTGCCTTCAGGAATCCCTGCTCCAACCCCTCTGCCCCCAACCACCGTCCCCAGCTACTCCTACCAGGGCCACGGTCTGACGCCCATCGCACCGTCTGCCCTGACAAACAGTTCAGCCAGCTCTCTCAAAAGGAAAGCTTTCTACATGGCAGGGCAAGGAGAAATGGACTCCAGTTATGGAAATTACAGCTATGGCCAACAGAGATCTACACAGAGTCCCATGTATCGAATGCCTGACAACAGCATTTCAAATGCAAACAGGGGGAATGGTTTTGACAGAAGTGCTGAAACATCATCCTTAGCATTTAAGCCAACAAAGCAGTTAATGTCCTCTGAACAGCAAAGGAAATTCAGCAGCCAGTCCAGTAGGGCTTTAACACCCCCATCCTATAGTACTGCTAAAAACTCACTGGGTTCGAGATCAAGTGACTCATTTGGGAAGTATACCTCCCCAGTAATGAATGAGCATGGTGACGAGCACAGGCAGCTCCTCCCTCACCCAATGCAAGGCCCGGGACTTCGTGCAGCTACCTCATCCAACCACTCTGTGGACGAGCAACTGAAGAATACTGACACACACCTCATTGACCTTGTTACCAATGAGATTATCAACCAAGGACCTCCCGTGGACTGGAGTGACATCGCTGGCCTAGATCTAGTAAAGGCCGTCATTAAGGAGGAGGTTTTATGGCCAGTATTGAGGTCAGATGCATTCAATGGACTGACTGCTCTACCTCGGAGCATCCTTTTATTTGGACCTCGGGGAACAGGCAAAACATTAATGGGCAGATGTATAGCTAGTCAGCTGGGGGCCACGTTTTTCAAAATCACTGGCTCAGGCCTTGTCACAAAGTGGTTAGGGGAAGGGGAAAAAATTGTCCATGCCTCCTTCCTCGTGGCAAGGTGTCGCCAGCCCTCGGTGATTTTTGTTAGTGACATTGATATGCTCCTTTCCTCTCAAGTGAGTGAAGAACACAGTCCAGTAAGTCGGATGAGAACCGAGTTCCTTATGCAGCTGGACACTGTACTGACTTCTGCGGAGGACCAAATAGTAGTAATTTGCGCCACGAGTAAACCGGAAGAAATTGATGAATCTCTTCGAAGGTACTTCATGAAACGACTTTTAATCCCACTTCCTGACAGCACAGCGAGACACCAGATAATAGTACAACTGCTCTCACAGCACAATTACTGTCTCAATGACAAGGAGGTTGCACTGCTTGTCCAGCGCACAGAAGGCTTTTCTGGACTAGATGTGGCTCACTTGTGTCAGGAAGCTGTGGTGGGCCCACTCCACGCCATGCCAGCTACAGACCTTTCAGCCATTATGCCCAGCCAGTTGAGGCCAGTTACATATCAAGACTTTGAAAATGCTTTCTGCAAGATACAGCCTAGCATATCTCAAAAAGAGCTTGATACATATGTTGAATGGAACAAAATGTTTGGTTGCAGTCAGTGATACTACTTAAAAAAAAAAAAAAAAAAAAAAAAGTAATGAATGTTGGCACACACAGAACCTGCTACATAGGGTAGAGAACCCTTTTCAGTAGTGTTAAAATTGCAAAGGGTACTGGGAAGACTACAATTTACCTTGCCTCTAAAGAGTCAGGGTAGACTTGAAGGAAAAGTGCATCAAACAAGAGCTGCTGATCTGAAAAAGCCACACATGACAGAAAGCGTATGTTGATGCTCAGTTCTGTTCAAGCTAGACAATACTCACCAAGGAGCAAGGTGCAAGTGGGTTGATTTCAGAAGGACATGAACCCTGTGTGTTGATTCCATTCTGCTGTTCTTGAGATTTAGTTGCTGTCAAGTGCCTGAAGTGGTGCTTTATTTTTTGTTTGCCTCACAATTACATTGGTGGCATGTGCTAATATAAAGAGCTTTAACTTCAAACATTATTGGACTAAAGAGATGAACGGTTGTGTTGCGACAGAGAACCAGATTTTTGCTATTCTAAGAGCAACAGTATTCCTCAATCCTGTCTGTTCTGCGGTGTTAAACTAAGAACAGGTAAAACAGGGTAATGGTAATCTGGACCTTAATTTCTGCAGTTCATTTCTTTTAATGTTCTGTCTGCAAAAACTCAGGAAAGTGATTGTGATTTGTACAGTACCTCAAAGGAATGTGTTGAAAGCACTATGTACTGCTGAGAGTTATAGGCTAGGCTTCAATGTTACTTTATATTAAATATGTATGTTTACCTCAACAATTGGAAAATGGCAAGGAAAATTACTTTGAATGTATCCAGGAAAAAACTAAAGTGTGATATGACTGAAGCTTTACAGTTTTTAAAAATAGAAACAGAAGGATTTCCCAGTGTTCAGAAATGGTTCTTTTGCCAATTTGTCAGATCAAACCAGAGCAGAACAATTTTTCTTGATGGTAAACTGTAAGAGTTTTCGGCATATTGCTCCTTGATAATTACGTGATACAGTCTTTAGAAGGTGCATAGATGAAAAAAGAGCCACTTAATCGGTTTATGTTAGCTTCCAAAACAGTCAAGCGTAAGATTTGGTAGAACTCTGAGAGGCAAATTACCTTAAGCTGTGACTGCTGGCCTTTGTTGCGCAGCTCTAGTCATAGTTTTGAGGTTATTTTGGTGAAGCTGTAGGGAGTGGGATCAGTGTACGTCGCTGGCAGAGCTATGGGTTGCAGAGCTGTTTATAGCAACGCAGTGGTCTGTGACCAAACAAACAGTACAAATAACAAAGCAAAACTGAACCCTCAAAGTACATTTATTTCCCTTTCCATACTATAAAGTTGAGTTTTTGTTGTGTACGTACGGCTCCATTGTCCTTAAAGCAATCTTCATTTAGCATCCATTAGAAATCTTCCAGGCTGGAGTCTGCCCACCATTATTTCTACCTCAGTTTTGTTACATTTCTCTTGGAAAGCAGAGTAAGAAATAGGGCAAAAAACAACACCAACACAAAAATCAGATTACGTTAGGAATGTGAACCTGCTAAACAAGTTTGAGCGCTGCTGTTTTTTCCCCTGAAGTCAAGTTTTTCTCTATGTTATCACTCTTTATCCCCCACCACCACCCTCCATATACGCACACTTTTTCCTCCTCCAAATATACATATTCTGGTGTCTTCCTTCTGGAAAGACTAGCTGGCCTGTGTGGCATTTTGCTCAGTTCTCCCCAACCCCCCCACCTTTCTTATTATCCTTTAATGCTTTCCGTGCAACTCTTTTGGTGACAGCTGACTGATGTTGGGTAACGTCTCTGAGCAGGAGCAGTGCATGTTGCAGCTGCCCAAAGCCTCTGCCATCACATGAACAAAACAGCCTTGCTTTTTTGAATGTATTTTTTGTTTGTTTACTTTAAAGAGACAGTAACAAAACTGTTGCAAAGCACTGGCATTTAATGTTTCTGTTAAGTAATGTACATTCAAAACAATTAAATAAATGCACTGAAAAGCCCCAAGAAGAAAGATACCAATCTGTTACTAGGTCATGTTTGTCTTCTCAAAATTGTACAGACCTTGTCCGTTTTGTTAAATCAATGGAGACATTTAGCGTTCAGAAAGCTAATGAGGGATTTTGTGATATTGCTGGAAATTTATGACTCTTGATTATTACTTTCCTTTATTTTTCTTTTAAGATATATATATATATTTAGATAGAACGTGCTAAAAACAGAGCAAATAAACCAAAATCTAATTTAAGATGGATTCCTGGCAAACATTTTGTCTATCTAAAACTTTATGTTTTAAGCATAAAAGTACCATTTTAAAAACAGTGCCTTTCATTAAGGATATAGAAAGTAGGACTTAAGTACATCATCTGCCTTTCTTTTTCTTTTTTTTTTTTTCTTTTTCCTTCCTTCTTTCTTTTTCTTCTTTTTTTTTTTTTTTCAACAGCAATTACAGTCTATGGTACTTGTTACGACCCAGTCTTTCTGCTTCCCCAAACCTCCACAGGCTGCTTCTTCACCCTGGTCATTCCACCATCCTCGTATTTGGGAGATCCTGATGTCCCCATTAGCTGTATGTTCACGCTGATCACACTGGCAAGTACGCTATTGCAGATCGCTGACCCAATTTCTGTCTTAGACATTGACTTTCATATCTGCCATTGAGCTGTGCTCCTTTGAAAGGCTCAGGCAAGTTTTGATAAACCAACTCTTGTTAACTGTTTCTCCTAACCGTACTCCTAACAGATTTTCTTTCAGCAAGTAAAATGAAAGCAACCCACTAGAGTGGTTTTTGCCCTCTTTCTATCCAGTAGCAAAAACAAAAGCAAATAAAATTGTTGATGGTCCCTTTGGCTTCTAGCTTTAAATCATTCTCTTTAAAAAGTCACTCTGGGAAATGGATTTTTCAAATGTTAACCAAAGTGAGAAGCAGGTAGAAACTGAGATGGTGTAAAAATGCAGGTTCCACATGTGTGCATACATGCACTCACACTCATTCTTTCCATGGCTCGATTCAGTTTTGGGACAGCAGAAGTGGGAAACTTCACCCCTATCACAGCAGCTGTGAGGAGAGGAAGACAGAGCCAGATTGCTACCCAAGTTTTTCTTTACCAGCAGCTGTCCTTGGCATCGGTCTGGGAGGGTGCCTGTTGAATGTGGCGAGAGCTTGACCAGTTAGTGTTAACAGGAGGCTCCTCAGCCCTTCTCCAAGTGGTTTCTGGCTACTCCTTTGATGAAATTTCCTCCAGTTTGGGGGCCTGAGCTGGCTGAACCCCCTGCCATGTCCTGTCCTTTGTATTGCTTTCCTCCCTCCTCTCACATTCAGTCCCTCTTTTCTCCCTAGTGAGCAGGTTTTGGCATGCTGCTGGTCCTTCACCTCTCTCGGTGGCCTTCTTGTCAAGGAGTGTCCAGGAAGGGCTGAAGCATGATGCTGAACTTGAGCAGGTCCCAAAGGTTAGGATTGTTTTTGAGAATAGAGACAAAATATGTTCTAATGGTGTCTTCAGGATGAAATATTTGCTGGTCTTTGACATTTCCATGGTAGAAAGCTATTTGCTGTCTTTTACAACTGTGCAAAGCTGGGGGCTGCTGCTTGCAGAAATGCCCAAGTGTTCAGCTGGGGCTCCCTGGCCACTGGCACAGCCCTGGATTTTAAGGAACTTGAAATGGTTAAAGAGTATCTGCTGTGTCAGCCTATCACTGCAGATGCTTTACATCTTATTTTTATGTGTAGATCCCATTCTGCATCAGCGCATTTTCTTCCTTGTACCTTCACTAACAATTCCTACGGCAACAAAAGTAAAATAAATTGGAGGAATATTTCTGTAAGCTGAAGGATCAATATCAATTCAAGGAGGAGTTCATAATGACCTTATGCGAGACAGAAATGGAAATACTCTATATTTCTGGCATGTTTCTCTCCAAAATATTTAGAAGATTAGTGACAATATAGAAAAGTTTGCTGACTGAGCTGATCAATGGAATGTGAAGGCAGTTTACTTTAAGGCTATTTACTTTCACACAGATTATTTATCTATTAGTCAGTTTGTATACTACTCAAATGCAGATAGATGGGCAAAATGTTTTCTTGAGCATTACAAACCCACCAAGGGGAAAATCAACCATCTGACTAAAATACATAGGCCAAACACCATCTGGGTGTCTTTACCAGCTATTTGGAGGCTGTGCTCTGTAAAATGGTACAAGGTCATATTTAGGTGGTTTTTTAATAGGATGTTTCTTTAGGGGATCGTCTAGTCAAAAAGATCCAAATTAATTCCTGCATCAATATGTTAATATATTGAAAGCAATTTTGGGGATCTGACCAGGGTTTTCACTGTCTGCAAATACGTATGACTTCAGGTAAAGGGCTGTTCTTATAATCCCCCTTTATTTTTCTCTGAAGCACTCCATCACAAGGAAGAGTGCATCACTCGCATCTGAAGGATACACTTTGTCACAAAACAAGGCCGCCAAAAGTTGTAGGGCCTCCTACCCTTTCACTTACACCAATCTGAAGGTGGTATAACCTTGTTGACTTAAAGGAATTACTCCTGATTTCTGCCCTTGTTAGAAGTGTCATCCCTGCAATGTATAATAATCTATGTCTGTTGGTTTTCATCATCAGCTCTGAAAGATAACCTTGTCCTCACAGCACTAACTCCTTTCCATCTTGTATGTGTGCATGTGTGTATATAATATTTATATGTGCATACACACCATGTCCAAACAATAGCTTTGTCTCTTTACTTAAAAAAAAAAAAAAAAAAAAAAAAAAAAGTCATTTAATCATCTGCAGATTTATATGAAGCACATTAGTAAACATGGAGATACTAGTATTTCAGAATTCAAACAAAGCCCAGCTGTGCTGGTGACTAACCAATGCATGAACTGAAGCTCACACTCTGCAAGGACCTTTGGTTGACATTCGATTTTGAACCTGCCAGATGCATTTTTGTGAACCAGGGATACTGCATCTTTAATGAACAAGTCTCTACTCTTTCCCCTGTTTTTAAATACAACACAAGCAGTGTAGCACTAGGCACTGCAATTGTCAAAGACAATTAGACTGAAAGCAGGAAA